AGTAAAATTAAAAACTTTTATATGTAAGGAAAAATACATATTTTACTAATTATAATTAGTAAAAAATTTAAGCGTTACATTATTTTTGATTGCCACTGTATATATATAAAAATATAAATATAGTAATTTTTATAATTATAAAATTAAAAAGTTTATCTTATTAATAAAATATAATAAAAATTAATTTATTTAGAAATAATTTTTAAAATTTAAAATTTATAGCTTAATATATATTTTTTTCTGAAAAAGTTGCAAAAGTTATTATAAAATATTTTCTAACTAAACTTCATTTTTAATTAGAAAAAAATTTTTATAATAACTTTGCAATTAGAATAATTTTGTCAGAAAGAATCTAAAAATCAAAAAAATATATATTAAACTATAACTTATAAACTTTATTTTAATATAAAAATATTTCTTATAATATTATAAACTTTAATATAAAGAGAAATTTTCAATTTTTATTATATTTTATTAATAAAATTGATTTCTAATTTCATAATTATGTGAATTACTATATAAATTATTTATTAAGCTTTGTTACTAACATTATATAATAAAAATATAAATATAATAGTAATTCAGAAATAATTAAAAAAGAGAAATTCTATAAAAAGAAATTATATAAGAAAAAAAAGAAATTTTATAATATTAAATAATAAACTAACAAAATAATAAAAAAATTAAATTAAAAAAATCAAATAAAAAATAATTTACTTATTCTCTTACAGTTAACATTTATATCACTCCTTCAGTTATAAACTGAGTTGAAAGTAAATTAGTCATTATAATTATTGGTATTCAAATTATCATTCAATAAGTTAAAAAACAGCATGGATTAATAGGATTATTGGAATTAATCGAGACATTACCATTACATTTGAATACTCAGCAATAGATTCACAAATTTTAACAACTTTATAAATTATATATAATAAAGAAATCAATCGATTTTCTGATAACCTTATTGAAGGAATGATCACATAATATTCATGGATAGAATTTTAGAATTCAACAAGTATTATACCATGGAATTGGATAAAGCAAGTTGAGATTGATGTAATACTAATTATCCTTGGCGCTTTGATCGCCAAGACGTCATTTGAATTCAAATGGCTCTTAAAAAGAACTTGAAAATCATTATTCTATCTTCAAAATGTCACTGCATCATTGCAAAATGGTGCTCATCAAATCTTTCAATGAAGAGATTCGCAAAGATTATGTTAGCACACAAGTTTAATGCCAAGCCAACTCTTTTTTCTCTTTTGTTCTTTTAATTTTACCATAAGTTTTTCTTCTTCGCTTAGTTTTCTTTAATTAGTTCGTTTTTGATTATCTTTGGAATCCCTGACATATTTTGTTCTTTTCTTTGTTTTTCTCTTTTCTTTTATCTTCCGACTTGGGGAAGAAGAGATTGCTGCAATTTTAATTTCACAGAAGTTCAATTTCCTTTGGCTGCGCGTTTCCTTGTACAGTCCACGTGGAAAATAGTGACGAAAAATTTTTATCATATAATTAGCCTCCTTTTAAAAAAGACTTATGTGAAAAGATACATGACACTCTATGAATCTCTATTTCGAAATGTATTTACAGCTATTGAAATCACAATATAAATCATGGTCTGGGCGGAATTTTGATAATCATGATACAGAATCGATTATGAAGAGCATCAAATTGATTCACGATTACGCGAGTTTTTGTCCATTAATAAAAAATATTCAGCTTAAAAAGGTGTATTAAAACAATATTTATTAGTTTATAAATTAAGAAATGTGAAAGAAAATTCCAATAACAATATTAGCTATATTCTTATGCTTTTTTTGAAACTTACATTGGACATAGATAGAAGGAAAGTAAATTTTATAAAATGTGATGCTTTACTTAGAGACGTTTTGGAGATAAATTTTTTTTGTAAAGTTGTCTTTAAAAATTGCACCTGAATTTTTTAAAAACTAACCGTCATTACTTTCTGTGCGGACTATAACACTGATTTCTGTTTTCGATGTTCCAATAGTATATCTAAACAATTTTTACATAAATTATCACATAAATTATCCTGTAATAAAGGTAACGAAAATATATAAATAGTATAGTGAAGTAAAGGACAAATAAAGCTTTAAAGCTCTGATTAGTATAATTGCTAGTAAATACATACATATTGACTCTATTTAATTACCTTTAACTCACTGAGACCCACATAAATCCCGTTCAATTGATTGATGGTTGGTCCTTTGCTCCAGAAATAAATGAATGTTAAGAGTTTAAGGCTTTTATCTATAAAAAGTAATGTTAAAGTATAACAATTGTAAAGAAATCCAAAAATAAAATAAAAATTAATAAATAAAATGTCTTGACTTATAAAAAAAATACTTTTTCTGTTAATTCCCTGCATTCGAGCCCAAAAATAGCGATATCCGCGCAAACATTAGACCTATGTTTCGTACAAAATACATGTAACTGTAACGGTGGTGCTGCACTATGTAAATCATTTGATATGTAACATCCAATGTTTCGCGATTTTTGTATGCCATTTTTTTTTTACTATCGCTATTGCTACATTTTGAAAATAACAAAAATCATGAATTATTGCTCAATAGACACATACTTTTTTATTTTTGATTTTATCAAAATAAACTGGTATAAAATTTTTCTTAATTTTACTAAGCTTTCTCGAACATTTTGTTCCTTCGAGAACAGTTAATTTTCGAATTCAAAGCGGATAACAATAACTTTTCATTAAGTTTGATATAAATGGAATAAAACAATGTTACGCGTACTTTGTGATAAATCTAACGTTAACAATAACCTTCCATATACGGCGAATTACATGCATAAACCTGGATAAATAACGATAATCAGTAAACAAATATAAATGCTGTAGGAGAAACAGAAACGAAGAAAATAAATTATAATGTTTCTTTTCGACGCTGTTAAGAATACAAAGTCTACAGAACCTTTTTGGTTCAAAATTATAAGGGCTTTATGCGCTGCAGTGTTCTCGCTGGTGTTTATTAGTTACTTATGGACTGTTATCTCGGGGTTTGGTCAGTCGCTGTATATACCAAATGTAGAATTTACTGAAAAATTTTCTTCTATTAGTTATCCGGGTATGTTGTTAATTTCTTTGTTGATAATTTTCCATTTATCGAATCCAATTATTAAAGGATGTAAATAATAAAAGGTATGAAGATATGTCGGAAAGGGATTGCAGAGACAGGAGAAGAAACAATTTCAACCAGCTTCAATGTTACATGCGACTTGCAAACAATTTATCCGGATATAGATGTAAAAGCTTGCCCTAATTTCTTGGGTAGAACAGAAGATGGATGTTGGCAATTTCGTCCCTCAGCATCATATGTAAATAGACCAAATACGACTAATCCCATAAGCAAACCAATAGATAAATTAAGATTTTTCATAGATGAAATAACGAATTTATCATCTACAGACTCAAGCAACAATTCTATAAACAATTCTTCCCAATATTATTACACAATTGTTCTTGACTCATTCTATATCGATAGTAAAACATCATTTGAATTCCATACACAGTCGACACCGTTTGAAATCGACAAATCCCCTTATGATGTACAATATAATATGGTGACATTGGATCGTGGTCAATGGATTCAAATTGAATATTTGACAATAATCCATTCTACTTATTATTCGTCGCATCTTCAGGGTCAATTGGGTGTTGCTGCCGACAAGATGTGGCTGGAGTTCGACACGGATGTACAATTTATGCCTAAACTTTCTGAGCCATCAAAATCTATTTTTTATCTACAGCCGAAGATTCATTATATTCACTATCAAACAGAAAAATATGAAAATAATGGTAAATACCAAGCAAAATGCTATTTCGTCATCTTATATTCCAGGAACTTATGAATTGATAAAATAACTTTTTAATTAGTTTTAAATTCCGTTTCAAGACTCGGTGGTTTTTATTCTGCAATAGCTGGTATTTTCGTACTATTATTTGGTGCCGCAAAATTTGCTCCTTGGTAAGAAACAAAATTTAATCGCATTTAAATAATTTGGTTATTAATGTTGATATAATTTTTATAGGGGAATTACACAGAAATACATATTTCGTTGTTGGTTCTTTCGTCGAAGCTTCAAAGAAAATCTAGCAAGAAGATACATTTCTGCGGCTGGAATACCATTTGGCGAACGAATAATTGAACGACCGGAGGGTGCAAGTCTCGAAGCAAGAGTTCAGATCTTGGAAACATTACTTAAAGATTATTACTTGGAAACTTACTACCTGGATACATTGAAGCCAACTATGGAAAGATATTTAGCTCAAGAAAGACGACATGCGAATCTTGAAAATCTTACAGAATTAGAAGATTTAATTGTGGAAAATTGGTCTGATACTTCGCCAAATACAAATAAGAGGACTAGTTCCTTTTTCCAAATATTTACTGAAAAATAACCATGTCATTTTATATTTTTGTAAATTACGTAAGAAGCCAGCAGTTAACACGTTGTTTTATATATATATATATATATATATATATAAATATAAAAGTACACAAGATGTACTTCACAAAAGAATTATTTTTTTGATTAGAGCCTTGTTGAAAAAAAAAGAAACTTGAGCTAGTAACATAATGAAGCTGCATGCTATGTGAGTTTCTCGATATCATTTTATCTTTTCATAGTCGTCATAAATAATTGACTATTGCTTAAATATCTTTCATACAATAAATCAAATTTGTTGCAATCACAATGTATCATGTTGAATCAGATATATCAGACGTCGCTTTCTCGCCAATATCGATATTGTTTACCGAGGACATTAAACTACTTCGTAAAAGGAAACTTCCATCGGGAATTGTAAATACATGTAATAATGATAAGCTATCGCCACGTATTCGTTACCACGCACAATCAGAGTCGGTTTTGAGTTATTCCGCTCTGAGTTCGAAATCAATAATCACATGATTAATTAAACCTAACAGTAGAATAAATAGAAGTTGATTCAGTAATTTCTTTACGTTTATTACTTACTAAAGAAAATTGATTGGACAAATATATACAAATTATAAAATTAAAGAAATTATCTCATCAATTATTTTATAACAACATGTATTTATCTAACATCTTGTTTTGATTATTGTTTCATTATAGAGTGAAACTTCTAGAATTTTATTTAAAGTTTCATTTTTATTTATTTATTGTTTTAAAAAATATTTTATTTATAATTTACTTTAACTTTTTCTTTCATTTATTTAGCTTAATTAGTAATTAATTTTTAAATTATAAATTTTTCTCTTTGTAAAATAAATAAATGCAAGTACTCTTTAAATATTAATAAAATTTACTTGAATATTTTAATTTACAGTAGTGGCCATAAGTTACCAACCCTCCACCATTTTTCAAAGAATAAAGTGAAATGAATTTTTTATTTTTATTTTAGAGTATGGAATAAATCCTGATCTTTAATACATAGTATAGTCACCATTATATTATTTTTTTAGTATTTTAAAAAAAGTCTAATTCAGTTTGAATTTAATTTAATTTAAACTCAAACTTGAATTAAATTCAAATTTAATTTATATATTAAATTGATTTTAAACTTTGAACTAAATTCAATTAGAAAAAATTTAATTTTGAACTTGAATCAAACTTAAATTTAAAATTTTAATCCTATTTATATTTATATTTAAATTGAAATTAACTCTAAGTATAATTTTATTAATATATATAGATTAGTATAAAAAGATTTATATCTCAAATAAATATTAATAAATTATTTTTTCAAAATAAAATTTAATTCTATCTTATTTAATTAAGTTATTAAATATTAAAATTTATTTAATATAAAATTTTTATTATACATTTTTATAAAAAAATTTTTACTAATAATAATTTTTTTAATTATTATTTCTTAAATTTTACTATATAAAATTTAATTAAAATTAATACAAAAATTATATAGTAAATAATTTAATTATTAAATTTTGAATTTTAATATCTTTATAATTACTAATTTAATTTTTATAAAATTCAAAATATATTTATAAATTTAAGATAATTTGCTTATATAATTTAAAGTTTTAATATTATAAACTAATAGTAAAAAAATTTTGTTTTAATTTTTTTTTTAGTAAAGTAATACTTTATTTATTATTAAATTAAAATATAATAAAATAGTATAAAAATTAATTAAAATTTAGATAATTTTTATTAAAAGTAATTATTAATTTTTATTATATTAATAAATAGAAATATAAAATTTTAAATATTTATTTTTTATAATTATATAAATTTTTTCTTTTACTCATAATATTTTATTTAATATTAAAGAATATATAAATAATATTTTAATATCTCTTTTATAAAGGCAAATATATTATGATATTAAAATTTATTTTTATCAATTCTTTTCTATTTTTTCAAGTATTTATATTTTTTATTATTAATATAAATATTTTAATATATATAAATATTTAGTTAATATTAATTATTAGCTAAGTAATAATATTTTGAATTTAGTTTTGAATTTTATTAGTTAAAATAAATTTTTTTTAGCAAGAAAAATTTAATAAAAAGATTAAATAATTATTAATAATATTTTAGAAATCTTTTATAATTTAAAGAAAATTATTCTATTTTTTATTAAAGAATTCATTTAGTATATATATATGTAAGATTATTTTGTTAATAGTTATAAACAAGATAAAATGTGATATGAATAAGTTTTAATTTTATAACTTATGAT